ACCTCCCCTCCTCAAAACCCCGCCCTCCGCACGCGTCCGCCCCCCTCAGTGCGCGTCAAGGGCAAGGCTGCCATCGACGTGATCTGCAACCCCCTGGGCAAGAGCGGTGGCGCCCTGATCCAGCAGTTCATGATCATCGGCTTCGGCTCCCTCGCGGCCTCCACCCCCTACCTGGGCGGCATCCTGCTCGTCATCGTGCTCGGCTGGTGGGCCTCATTACGCGAATCCTTGTGGGGTATTTGCGGGCGCCAGTCCCAGCAACCCGCATCCACCCTCGCCCTGCCATACGGCCATTGCTGCGCCAGCGGTAGGCCGACCCGCGCCACGCTCACCGCCGCCCCTATTTTCCCCTGGTTTGGCCCCGGCCGCCCCCGACAGGATCGCCGCGGCGCGCTCCCTGGACAAGCAGTTCACGGCGCTGCAGGCCGAGGGCAAGGTTGTCGAGTAAGCTGCCGCCCTCTGGGTGGACGCGCGGCTCGCCGGGGCTGCAACCGCGGTCTCTGGACGCGGCGGCGGGGGCGGCGCCTCGTGGGCTCCTCGCGGCGCGCGAGCACTTGCTCGGGCGAAGGACGTGGGTGCAGGGGGCCGGGCGGTTGTTGCGCGCCGGCCTCCGAGGTGAGTTGACAGAAGGCTGGTGTCGGTTTTGCCCGCGGTGGGCCCGCGGGGCAGGGCGCAGGCGCACTCCCCCGCGCACCGCCGCGCGGCAATCGCGGCGCCGCGCCTGGGGACGTGTGCTCTCTCTTTAATTCCCGCACAACGTTTGAGAAGAGAACCTACCACTCATGTCTGACGGGTGGGGTTGCCACGGCGTTGGCGCCGCTTTTTGATACGTCCCGCCGCCGTCTTGTGCTGTGGGCGCGCATTGGTGCCGCAGCGCGCGGCGCGGGGTCTTGACCCAGGCAAGAATGCCGCGACTTTCCTCACTGTCTCCCGTTGATCGGGTAATATTCACCACGCCAACGGGGTTGAGATATGGGTCGTGGCACCAGCAGCAGCTCCTGTGCCAGCTCGAAGGCGGCAGCAGCTAGTGCAGCAGTGCAGAGCAATGTCCGCAGCAGCCCAGCAGACAGTCATCACTCTGCCAACACACCGGCTTCTCGGTGGAATGCCACCATCGTACTGAAGCTCGTACGCAATACATGTCCATGAATTTGAGGTGGCATTTTCGTTTCTGCAACTTCCAGTAGACGCATCAGCTGTGGGCGTCATGCCGCCGAAGAAGGCGCCGGCCAAGGCGCCTAATCCCGGCACCGAGCAGGACGCGGAGCGAGAGCTAATGGAGACGGAGATGCTGATAAACTTTCTCCGTTCGAAGCTCGGCAGGTGAGAACGAGCTTCGTGTCGCGTACAAGGTTGAAACCGCGCGTGAGTGCGTGCAAGCTCTTCGACAAAGAAATACACCAAGGAAATCGTGAAATCTTGTATTATAACAGCGGCTGGGCGGGCGTCCAGCATGGCCGTGACAGCACGCGCACCTGCCATGCAGCATGTGCCCACGCGCAAGCGAGCCCGGGCGCACAGGCTCCCCCATCACCTGCCGCGCCCTGCCACCGCGCTTCCAGATACCAGCAGCAGGGCGACCGCCTCCAGGTGGAAAACTTCAAGCTGTCAGATGAGCTGGAGGCCTCGAAGCTGAACCTGAGGGACATCAATGAGTTTCTCACCAACGAGCTCAAGGCGCGCACCGCCGCGAACGCCGCGCTCGACGAGCGCGTCGCGCAGATGGCGGCGCAGCTGGAGGCGGCGCGCAAGGATTGCGAGGTGCGGCAGGGGCGTGGGGGCCTCTGGCTGGGCGGGACACTCGTGCAGCATGCGCGGCGCCAGGTCATAAAGGGGTGGGCCGCGGTTGCCCGGGGAAGAGTGTGCGCCTGCGCGTCAGTGTGTGTGCGTGTGTGTGTGTGTATGTGTGTGTGTGTGTGTGTCTGTGTGCGTGCGTGTGCGTGTGCGCGTGCGTGCGTGTGCACGAGCGTGCGTGTGCGTGTGGGCCTTGTAGTTTATGTTTGTGTGTGTATGCATACATGAGTGTGTGTGTGTGTGTGTGTGTGTGTACACGTATGTTTGTGCAGGTGCGCGGGTGCGTGTGTGGTGCGCACGTTGGTGGTGCATGTATGCACCGTATGCGGCCCTCGCAAGAACACAACGCAGGCC